TGTGCTAACATAAAAAAATAAATGCATTTATATCAGTGTTTAATATATTAGAAATAAATAGTATGGGGATCCATCTGATGTTGTATCCTTTTCCTAAAACAATTGATGGGTGAGCTATTAGGCTTAATTATTTCAAGCTGATGTTCATGACTTTACCAGTGCCACTGAGATGAAAGCAGGAAAGAAGAGCGATGCATTGCAGATGATTTATCCAGATGTTTTTCCTTTGCAGACATCGATGGCTTGGGAAGCAGTGCAATAGGCGGGCAGCTGATGGCTTCGGCTTCCAAACAATCTCCTCTATCCCAGACCTGGAAACCAGACGATGCGTTGATGGCAGGTGAAAGGATGTGCACAGTGGGCAGCATGGCTCACATGTCACATATATGTGTGTCATATTTTAGGCTAAAAATTTAGCTATTGATTGAAGGGGAAATGTTTCCTTTTCAGGTGTTTTCTACATCTGGCTGTGTGATACAGATCCCATTTAAAATCTGGTTCCAGCTTTTACCTGTGACAATGAATTATAGGTTTTTTTTTTCATTTGGGGCATTTCATAGATGTCATCAAAGTTATGGTTCATTAACATGTACATTGTGGGGAAAAACATCTGCTTGATTTTGGAATAATTCACAACCTTTGAAATAATTTCTCATTTTTCTTCTCTTTCTTTCTCAATCTTGGCCTCACCTTGTCCTTGTCCTATGAAAATCCCCTCTCTGCCCTTCTATTAGTTCCAAGGGGCAGAGGGGGAAATGATCCCATAAGCATCTGTGGAAGGTATTTTTCTGGGCTAATGTCAATATAATGGAGAGAATTTCCATCAGGATCATGATGGGAGGAAATTACTGTCCCCTTCCCATACTTCGATATAACTTCTGATTAAATGCCAAAGCATATAAGGAACGGCTGCTGGAATTGGGTATGTCTAGTTTAATGAAGAGAAGGATGATGGGGGACTTGATAGCAGTGTTCCAATATCTCAGGGGTTGCCACAAAGAAGAGGGAGTCAAGCTGTTCTCCAAAGCGCCTGAGGGTAGGACAAGAAGCAACGGGTGGAAACTAAGCAAGGAGAGAAGCAACCTAGAACTAAGGAGAAACTTCCTGACAGTTAGAACAATTAACCAGTGGAACAACCTGCCTCCAGAAACGGTGAATGCTCCAACACTGGAAGTTTTTAAGAAGAGACTGGACAGCCATTTGTCCGAAATGGTACAGGGTTTCCTGCCTGAGCAGGGGGTTGGACTAGATGACCTCCAAGGTCCCTTCCAACATTATTATTATTATTATTATTATTATTATTATTATTATTATTATTATTATTATTATTATTATTATTATTATTATTATTATTATTATTATTATTATATACTTAGCATAGTTAGAATAATTCCTAAGACGGTCTTTCACTTTTCTCTGCTTCAGGAGTTGCTTTTGCACGACACCTTCTAATTGGTTGCTGGAAGAATTTGATTGATACCTTATCAACACCTCTGACTGGCCGCATGGCAGGGAGCTCCAAAGGATTAGCATTCATTCTTGGGGCTGAAGGCATCAAGGAGCAGAATCAAAAGGAGAAAGATGCCATCTGCATGAGTCTAGATGGACTAAGGAAAGCAGCTCGGCTCAGTTGTGCTTTAGGTATTCGCTGGCATATTTATTTATTTATTTATTTATTTAATTACATTTGTATCCCGCCCTTCTCCTTGCGGACTCAGGGCGGCTGACAATGATTAAAATACTAACATATACATCTAATTAAAAATTGATTAAAAAGAAATATTTAGATACGTCAAATAGTTTTCATGTTTAGATAAACCTGTGCACTCTTTCAGTATCCAAAGAAGTTTCAATGTAGAAGAGCATTACGCTATGTGACATGTCCCTTTTGTGCTACCAGATGTTTAGCAAATACATGGGTCATGGTTCCGATCAATAAGACCAAATAAATCAGAACTCCGAGGCAAAAAAGTTCCTCAAAGAACATGTTTATTGGATACATAATATCGGCATGTTCAAAAGTGAAACCAGATCTAAATCTCCCCCCCCCCAAGAATCAAAGTAATACAATGTAACAATTCCCACCCCTCTAGTCATGCTGCCCAATAGAACCCCTTGGCGGGCTTTTCTAACTCAACGATCCTCCTTCGTCCCTCTGGCATGGGAATGACCTTGGTTCCCACAAGAGTTGCTCATGTTTAGACTACCAGAAATACCTTCTTCCTCCCTCCCCTTCTGGTGGCAATCCAAAACGAAAAAAATGGCTGCAGCCAGCTTCGTTACAGAGTTGACAACATGGCTAACAGCTCCTGGAATGAACTATAATTCATCAGACGTTTTCCTCCCGATCATAGGTATTGCTGCTAATTGTGCATCAGCCCTTGCTCAGATGGCAGCCGCCTCGTGTGTTCAAGAGGAGAAAGAAGAGAGAGATGCACAAGAGCCCAGCGATGCCATTGCTCAAGGTACAACTTCTCAGATGTTCAGAGGCTCCCAGTCCAGATATTCACGATCTCCGTATTGCTCTTTTTTTTTAACCCTTCTTATTGTGGGCGAGTATCTTCTGCAAAGATCAAGAATGCTTCCTTTAAGCAAAGAAAGAAAAGCTTTTACAGATTTAAAATTGGCAGAATCCCACTGGATAAAATAAAACAAAAGAAATAGAAATTATTCTGATCTTGATTTAAAATGCTTCATAAATCAAATCGGATAGACAACTCAAAGAAATGATTTCATAACAAAAAATATATTTAATCAGATAGGTTACTTGCTTTCATGACAATTGCCTCTGATATTACATCTCTTGTTCATTTCTATCGGTAAAAGGATGATGCTCTTTCATACCTTCTTCATAGTGGCACAGACTCATCCGGTCACATCTGATGGCCCATGCTTCGTTCAGACAAAGACATTCCAAACTGGCTTGTGTCCAGGAAGTCTCCCAATGCCCTTTAGAAACTCCTCCCACTGACCTATTACTAACATACTGATACGTGCTCTCTAGTTAGGGTTACATAGAGCTATACGAGGTTACATAGAGCTATACAGTTCAGAATAGAAATTTTACATAGAGTCACTTTAGAAATAGATTTTATTATGGCATAGAATTGTCACAATAGGTGACAATGTGCAGTTGACTTTTCCAATCTTGAAAAAGCTTGGATCCCATTCATACTTCATGGCAGATAATCTCAAACGATTAAATTTGACTCGGCTGAAAAAATAAAGATTCCCAAAGTAGATGATGGCAAGCCACTTCTGTACATTGTCAAAGAAAATAATATGCATGTATCAAAGTAATAACCATAAGTGGAACAAGACTCTGGAGAGACTTTATATTATTCCCAATAAGGTTTGAATGGAGTTGAAACCAGGAATCTTGTAAATAAAGTAAGGGTTTATTTACTTAAAGGGTTTATTTATTTAAAATAAGAAACTATAGTTGGTGGCATAGGAGTGTGAGATTATTTCCTATCTGTTGTGTTTTTAGGCCCATTTCACCTCTTTGGAATAGATACAAATATACAGAAGGGGAAATTGGTTTGAATCTCCTGAATTTGCCCAGCCTCTGAGTCCAAGTTGCTTTTGGTCCACATATTTGCACACGTATATACTTGCTGGCAAGCAGAAAAACTGCCCATTTAACCTGCCTGCTTTCAATATTTCTTTACCTTTTCTGCTAAATATTTGAAGGTTGGGAACAGTGCCAGCAGGAATGATCTTCTTTCCCTCTCCATGCTTTAATGTAGGATAGGGCAATTTTTTTTATTTTTTGGACTGGGAACTTCACTTCTTTTTGTTCTGCCTGGGGGTTTGGGTGGCATAACAAATGATATTGCGATGACACTGGAATGGGCAAAATAGTTTCCTTAAGCATTCCGGGACCTAATGGCACCCATTTTGACTCTTCCCTTGGAAAGGAGGGGGGAAAATGACTTGATTGGGGGGGGGGGTACTTACATACTCTCCTACGGGAGAAGGGCGGGATATAAATTCAAATAAATTCAAATTCAAATTCAAATTCACATATGAAATGCCTCCAATCCACCACAGCAAAATTAAGAAATTGACATTTTAACCCCACCCACTCTGGGTCCTTTGGGGGCCCATATCAGGCCACTTCTGCTTTAATTTGCTGGAAAGATGTAAAAAAGGCCCAGGGGTATTTAGATATTGTACTGAAACTCGATAGGCTTTTAAAAGACATTCTTTTCTGTCTGAATATATAATGATACAGTAAAACAGAAAGTGGAGCAAAAACTGGAGCAGATGGGGAAGGCGCACGGTGTCTGCCTCCACACCGCTCATGTTTTATGCATGGATGCTGTTCTTGCTGTGGGATTGGAGATGGGAAGCCACAATCCAGACTGTTGGCCTCATGTATTCAGGTAAGGAAACTGTTTGGTTGAGCCAATTTAGACTGTAATGTGGTGCGCTTGCAGACAGCTTTCTCCAAAATGAACTTGACACCTTGCAGATTGCTTAAGTTATTACCGGCTGCTTTGGTGTAATTATTCCAACCCCCTTAAAAAACACAAAATATTATCCGTCCCTTTATAAAAAAAAATAGAGCTCAATGGAAGGTTTTGTAATAATTAATCAGGAATTCAATATTGTGCTTGCCTATTTTGCTGTACGCATTTCAGAATTTGCAGATTTTACTCTACATAATTGCAGTTTCTGAATTCCCTTTCCTATAGCTGTTGCTCCCAGGAGCCCTGATTCTCATCTGACATAAAGGTTTTAAGAGTTCTTCAGGTACTTTAGCCATCCCATGCCAATCCCCAGAGCTAAACCTCTTTGTCTAACTCCAATCCTTAAACTTCACTTATCAGACAGCTGCACATACCCAGAGGACCACAAGATGGTAGCTACAATATACATAAACTCAATGATCTTTGCTGTCATCTGGTGCTCAACAAGTGAAACAGTGTTCCATAGTTTTAAGGAGTTTTGTTTTTGTTTTAAGTCAATCACTAAATGATTAAAAAAAAAGGGGGACAGCAAAAAAAAAAGGTGGGGGATGCAATATATGGAGTAACCAGGGCATTATATATGCCAATTGGAGGAGGTTTTTCACATGGTGAATGATGTTGGATAGGACTAGAATTTCAGCTGAGAGACCATCAATCATGGGCCTCAGAATATTGCATTTTTAAAGCTGTATGTATCCCAGTAGTAATATTACTGGATGCAGTAATATTTAGGGCAGCATAGGTTCCTGCTAGCTCTGGAACAGGAGAGGAGGAGGGGTGAATGTGATTTGTGTTCATCACCTCAGAAACCTTAATGCTATATCATTCACTAGCCTAGACCTGGGCATTTTACAGCCCTTCAGCTGTGTCTGCCTGAACCATGGCAATATCTCCAGTGGGGGGGGGGTTAGGGCCAGGGCGGCAGCCCTTCACATCAGTCCCAGTTTCTCATGTGACCCCTTGGGCAAATTAATTGACCACCCCTCCACTAGGAACTGTTCTTCTTTTTTCTTTTTTTGCTAACATTGTGACAATCTGGGCAGAAACAATTGGCCTCTGAGCTAAAGGCAAGCCCTGTACAATGACCCCTTCCTCTTTTTTCATGAGATTCTCTCTCAAGTTATCTATGACCAACCTTTTTTTTAATCTCATCAGTTAGATGAGCTTAATTTTCAAAATCCCATGGGATTTCCAAAAGTGTTGACAATTCTTGATCCTTCTGCTACATAACAGCTGAAATATTTGGGTAGAAACGGTTTTTTGACAAGGAAACATGAACTAAGAATGTGCATGTTACCAGACAGGGAACATAGTAAAATCAAAGAAAACAAGACAGGAGAAGAGTGGGAAAATTTCTCATCTTTATTTGGCTTCTGC